TTTTTTTTAATGCAGCTAACAATACCTGAAAGATGTCTATCTAGTTCCCCTTCAGGTACCACCATTCATCTGTTGGTGTCTTACCTAGGTTAAAAAAATTATGAGCCTCAAAAACACACCAGATATTTTCTGTTAACATCAACCCAAAGAACCAAATCAGATGTGGAAGTTTGAAATAGATTGGAAGAAAAGAAATGACATTTTAGTTCTTCCTTGAAGATCTTTTTAATTTATAATAATCCATGCATAGTAATGATTTGGCAAACTTTTATTAAAAATTTCTACATATAAAATGCTGTTATAGGCATCATTAATAAGATAGTTAATCCAAGTAGGTACTTCTTTTCTCACAAGTTAAAGTGCTAATTTGTAAATCAGGCCATCTTCTTAAAATAATTTTATAGGTAGGTTGCTAAAAAAATCCCCTTGTGATCATAGAAATAAGAATATGTATTGTAGATTGTATTACTGTAAAAAAGAAATCTGCAACCTTTCCCTGGAGAAGATTTGCACAGCCCTACCCATATCAGGAATCCCATGATTTGCTTTGACCAATGAAGTATGAATAAACTTCAAGAGCCATTGGCCATTTCTTGGTTTACTATTTTCTCTCCACCCCCGCCTTTTTTTTAAGGAGGCTCCACACCCAGTGTGGAACCCAACAGAGGGCCCAAACTCACAATCCTGAGATCAAGGCCTGAGCTGAGACCAAGAGTCTTACACTCAACCGACTAAGCTAACCAGGCGCCCCTCTCTCTTCCTTTCTGCCATGATATCAGTGCATTGCTTTTGTAAACCATTGAAATTCTGGGTGCTTGTTACTGCAGCATACCTTAACTTAAGCCAACTGATAACAAATCCTAAGATTTAAAAGGATATAGTATCAGCTTAAAGGCGATTACCATTTTGATCTAGAAATCAAAAGAGCCTTGTTAGCCCCTCCCACCAGAGAGGGGAATTAGGAAGAACTCAATATTTTGAGTGTTGGCATTGAGCTGTGTGTGACTAGTTTGCATCGATTCTGCCCAGGCATTGCATACCCCTCAAAGAAGATGAGTTTCTTTGTCATGACTCTGTGATCACAGGCATTGAACAGTCCTTTATTAATTTACTTTAAAGAACTCTAATATTTGATTTTGTGTCTTGGCCAGTCCTTTAATAGTGATGTAACTTAGATCTTGCCCTTCACCACTATTTCATAGTATCTTGTTTTTATTCATGGTGAGTTCAAATATGTTTACTAAAATACTCCAATCAAGCTGGTGCAATCATATTCAATTTTGTCAGAAATTCTAAGGTAAAAGTCACTTGAAGGATATATTTATACCCTATTTTTCTCCCATTTCTATGAAGGATGCAGTAGTATAATGTATTGTCTATGTTCTGGATATAAAATCTCAAATTATATGTATCTATGGAAGGTATAATTCCAACCTGGAATAAAAAACAAATGGGCCTTTCTTTCCATTTATGTAGAACATCTATTTTTCTAGATAGCATAGACCTATTATTTAATTCAGTATACCATTATCTTCCATCTTTCTCACTGTGGTTGTATGTCTCAGTTTTAGTCGGAGTACTAATATCATGACAAGGCTTCTGGGTAGTGGCTCCTGAATCATTGTCCTTCTCCACTTACAGTGACATCTGCCAAGATGCCTTTATTTCTCCTGATCCTCACTCGCTGGTTTTGGCAGTATCTTATTGCATCCCCCTAATCCTGACAACAAGACCCTGCACTCCTTCCATTCTCTATGTTACTTTCCTGCTGCACTCACATGGTGGAAAAAATTTCGCTCCTTCCTGTGCCCTGCTCAGAGGCACACTAACATGCCCTCACTGAGTCTGTTGGACCCATCAGGCAACCATTTCTTCTTGGGTTCTTGACACTTTGGAAAAGGATGAAGGTAATTTCTTTCTGCTCTCAAAGTCTCCAAGCTTAGCTGGAGGTTTCAATGGTCTGCCCCCTCCTGCACTTAGACTTTCGTGGGGCATGAAATAGACACTGGGGCCCATTCTCAGAAATTCTTCATTGTCTAAACTTTCTTCTTTTCTTGTGACTTATCCTTTCCTCTCCTTCATCTGGGAGAGTGTTGATCAAGTTTGATGATGTGTTACTTTGACTCTTCAACTGTTCTTTAAGAACCCTTTATTTATACCTGACCTAGCCTTTTTTGAGATCTAGAAGCCAAGAACTTGACTGTCTCATTACCTGCATACTGCTCTGTCACTTCTTACTTGAAATAGTTTGTATAGAATACAGTACCTGTTACTTGAATAGGGAGAAGAGTTACAGAATAACAAGAAGTAGCCTGTGTTCCAAAAACAAAAAAAAAAAGCACTATCATTATTATATCAAGATATTATTCTATCACAGATACATATATAAAAATATATACGTAGTCATAAACAAAACACAAACTTTGGCATCTTGGTAGAGCGTCTTTTGACCAAAGGCCAGACATTTTTATATGAAAATTAGTATTTGCTTTCACTTGTCTTTCCATCTAGTCCTATCTGCAGACTAGGATGGTGTTTCAGAGCATAGGTCTATGCCAACCAGCACATCATGAAACAATAGGTTTCATGCCTATTCAATAAAATTATTTCTTTAGACTCACATCCTCTTCACTCATTGTAATTATTCCTCTCAGTAAAGAATGTTTGAATGTACCCAAATCTTTTACATTTTAGTGCATTATCAGATCTTACAGCATGCCCCACCTTTTCTCTTTTTAAAAAGAAAAGTTTCATGGTTATTCTAGATAACAGGCCCTTGAGCTAACACAAAACAACAAAACCAAAATGAACACAGTCAAATGAATGTGAATTAGTTCCCTGTTTATGAATATTTATCTTTGAAAATAAACAATTATTCCTCTCCTTTTAGAGATGAACTTAACATGAGAAGAATTCTGAGCTAGATTATGGGACAAGCTATTAATGATGTAGATTGAATCAATATGGTAAATGATCATGACAGGGAGACCAAGAAATAATGTTTAAATGTCATTTTTTTTCCCCAAATGAGAATTGTTGTGTACTTGAAAAAGCACTTAATTAAGGGCCTAAAAGGGATTCTAAGTTTGGCTCTGTCATTAATAAGCAATTCATTTAGTTTCTTTGAGCTGTTATTTTCTTCAACAATAGAAGAAGGAACAGCACTGTCAATGTTTCCCAGTGTAGAAAGCAAACCACTGGTGTCACTGAAGATAATACCACTGGTAGGTGGTATATTAAATAATATAGAGTAACAGAGCCATTCTGTTTTCAACTCTACCATCCTGATTAAGGCAAGGATAAAGTCTTGTTAGTGCTAGTTTTGAAATCACTTGGTGTTACTTCTACTTTTTTTAAATTGAATTATATTTAACACACAATTAGTTTCAGATAAACAACATATTGATTCGACAAGTATATATGTTATGCTATGCTCACTACAAGGTAGCTACCATCTGTCACCATACAACACATTGACCATATTCTCTATGCTGGACCTTTCATCTCCATGACTGATTCATTCCATAACTGGAAGCCTATACCTCCGACTCAACTTCCCCCATTTTGCCCATCCTCCCTCACCTCTGGCAACCAACAGTTTGTTCTCTGTATTTGTGAGTCTGTTTCTAGTTTGTTTTGTTTTGTAGGCTCCACATAAAAATGAAACTACATGGTATTTGTCTTTCTCTGGCTTATTTCACTTAGTGTAATACCCTCTAGGTCCACCCATTGTCGCAAATGGCAAGACCTCATCCTTTTTTATGGCTGAGTATTATCTTCTTGTATATGTCTACTTTTTAAACAAAGAGATCAGAACTTTTAAATTCAGAACTTTTTAGTATGTAATAGTTTCTGGAAAAAAATGTTTTTATTGTATTAATTATTTGGTATTTTCTTTGGGGCAAGGAATATTGATTTTCCATTAATGGTAATAGAACAGAGTAGCCTTTTAAAATTTAAGAAAAGTATTCATTAAAACATAATAAGTAAATATTAGGGCAGGTATGATGTGCATGAATAAACTTTTGGCACCATTGGCTGAATGACCTAAAAGGACTTTTCAAAGAGTCCAATTTATGTTTCATTTTATCCTGGTTTGGGTCAAGGTGAAGGACAGCATGCTGTAAGCTAGGTTCTCCCCCTTCAGCTTATGAATCCGAGTGCAAAGCGATACGATAAGCTTCAGAATATAAACAAGACACATTTTCTAGAACATCAGCCTTACTTGAAGATAACAGCAACTGCATACATACATACACACACATAATAAATATATAAGTATATATATTCTGAAACGGATGCCAAATTTGCATTACTTTGCAAGATAAAACACTGTGTTTGAATGGGCAGAAATGAGCAGATGGGAAAGTCATCCAAGTAGATTAGTAGGTATAGAATATGGAACGTCCCAAAATTCAGGACACTTGCAGAGATCACCAAGACCATGTGGTGACAAAAACAACAGGAAGAGTTTAAAATTGCATAGTATTCCCATTGTGAACACAAACGTGAACAAGCCACAAATACACTTTGAAATTTGATCAAAAGGAGCAGAGGGTTTTAGTAAGTTTGAGTTATTCCTACCTTCCCACTCTCTCATTCACCTGGTAATGAACATCCTCTCCATGCAAACGGTATTGTAGTGAAAGAAGCCACATGCATATGAAGTACATAGCAATTCGAGTCAGGGTAATTTGAAGCCTCCCCAGCTCTATATTGGGAGAAAATCTGGAAAGCAACAGAGGGGAAGGGGTTTGTACGGAAGTCTTGAGGGGAAAGAATTCAGAGTAATATGAGAAGCATTGCAATGATCATGTACATTTGAGAGCTGCTGGGGAACTGGTTTCTTCTTCACCTGAGCCACAACTTGTATAAACAAAGAATCACGTTCTTGCACACCTACTATTTCTCCCCCCCCCTTTTTTTTTACCCACAGCAACATGGTGAGGGAACAACTTTGGGTTTGGAAAGAGCAGAAATCCATTCTTTTGGTGATCGGTGTTATGGGCAAAGACTGGAGCAACTGAAACTTCCGGTCACTTTTGTTATTTTCCCCCTACTCTGGGGAGCCAAGAAGGGAGTCAGCATGAAAAGCAGACTACATCTCTAAACCCCACCTTCACAGCCTGCCAACCATTAGGGACTTTTGATAAAAGAGCTTGAGAGGCACAGTTTAGGAAGGATCCAGGCTCTTCCCTCTTAAAGCCCTCACACAGCATTGCAGCCATGGCATCTGGGGAAAGTGTACTTGCTTCATAAGTTCCCTTTTGCTTGTCAGTCTTCTCCACTAGGAATTACAGCCCTAATGTGGGCCTGATGAATAGAAATGCCCGCGATATGGAGATTCTTCTCTCTGGCACTCTATCACTGGTTTCTCGAGTAGTGGTGGAAAAAGCCAAGAAGCTTACTTTTTTTTTTTTAAGTTGTGCATATTTCTGTATAGACCAAGTCGTGATGGAGAACAAATGCTCAGTAAATACTCAGTGAATGACTGAATACCATTGCCAATTCTAACACCCTTAGAAAAACAAGCCAAAGTTTGGCCTCTCTGAGAAAAACAATTTTGTTTGGCTTGGGGGCAATATCACTTGGTTTCACCAGGCACTTTAAAAAGTACCTTCACTTTCCAGGGCACCTGGGTGGCACAGCTAGTTAAGTGTCTGACTCTTAGTTTCGGCTCAGGTCATGATCTCAAGGTCCTGGGAAGGAGGCCCACATCAGGTTCTGCACTTAATGGAATGGGGAGTCTGCATGAGATTCTCTCCCCCTCTTCCCCTCTTGTGTGTGTTCTCTCTCTCTCTCTAAAATAAATGAGTCTTAAAAAATAAATAAATAAGAAGTGCCTTCACCTTCCAAACTCTGAGCAATACTCTAAGAGGCTTTACAGAGTTTGTCCCATAGGCATGGAGTTTTAGAATGTCCTACTTTAGTAAACACTGCTGAGGCAGTATGTATGGCTTCCTGCCAAGTTAACATTTAGTTCCTGCAAATGTATCTTTCGATATTTCCCTCACAGAGCAGTAAGAGATAAGAGGGAAAATGAAGCTGGGGGTGGGGGAGGAATAAATTTTGATGCAAGCATCTCTGACAGCCGTCAGCATCAACATAAGTGCTTTATAATCTGCTATATTTTGCCAGAGGATGACCCTCTCTGTTAGGAGTGGTAATTGCTGAACTTTACTTCTTGCTGTGACTCCAGGGAAATGTTGTCCCCAGGCCCTGACCTGATTTTCCTCACTGAGAGATCCCTGGGAGCTACTATTTCAGCTTTAATCCAGTACATGCACTTTTTTTATCAGGTTTTATATTTTAATGACTTCCTGAAACTCCCCAAAGTCAAATACATCAAAAATATGTATCTCTGCAGAGGTGTGATACCCTAATAGTCTGTCCAGTGGTTGCGAAAGAAGGTAACAACTACAGGCTTGGCAGATCTTTAAGAAACATTTAAGATGAGCTGTTGGTATGCAGGCATGCTATGGAAATCAGATAAGACAGTCATTATTTTATCAACTTATATATGATAAAGTTTATTTGTCCAGCCAAGGTAATGTTCCCACTTACCTATTCCAGTCAGCTTCCCTATTAGATAAAAAGTATCAGATGTAATTATTAGAAACTAGGCAGATCTGGGGCACCTGGGTGGCTCAGTCAGTTAAGCATCTGACTGGCTCAGGTCATGATCTCAGGGTCTTGGGATTGAGCCCTTCCCCACTCGGCGGGGAATCTACTCGTCCCTCTCCCTCTGCCCCTCCTCCATCTGCTCCCCCTGCTCCTCAGTCCACAAGGCATAATGAGCCCAGGTCTTGATGATGGACACTAAGCCCTTGTTCTCCTCCCTGCTTTGCCCATGTTCTTCCCTTGGGTTCATATGTCCTTTCATGGGCTCCTACAGATAGGCACTCCCCCACATTTTTTTTTCCAGAATAGCTTAGTTTTCTAGTTGGTCTCTATCTTCTCATTATTTCCTTCATAGCACTTAAAATAATGGGAAACCATCTTAACTTGTTTATTATCTAACCCCCAAACTTGAATATAAGCTTCATGAGGAGCTTTTATACTACTATATCCCCATCAGCTGAATTAATATATAAATATATAGGCTTAGTTGCAGTTAAGGGTGAGCAGGCAGTTAAAGGGGACCATTGTGAGCTAGAGGAGTCTCCCCACAATATCCACTACCACTTGGCTACCTTAATCAGTTTCTAGCATTTTCTCAACTAAGCAGGAGGGTGTGCATTAATTACACACCAATTGATCCTAATCCCTGCGCCAATCCAACATCAGTTCAAGGAGCTAAATAATTGTGCCACTTTCTACGACTGTGTGTGTGGGTCCAGATTTATGTCAAATAAATGTTCCAGCTACCTATTCTCTCCCACATATGTGAAGGGAATCTCAAACTGAAAGCACAAGATTAATATTTACAGTCAATTTTCATTATTCACGGATCCTGTATTTGTTAATTCCCCTACTCACTAAAATGACTTCCTGAAATTCCCCAAAGTGAAATACATCAAAAATATTTTCCCCAAATGCACACCAAAAGAATGAATACAAAATAAGTACAAATAAATATGAAAAAAATTTGTAACCCCCAAATCAATACTTGCTGTTGTTCTTCTGGTCATTCATGGACATGGGCATAATAGTGAAAAATTTGAGTCACTCAGTGTGCATGTTCCCATCTGAGGTTTAACAGGGCAACTCTGCTTTATTGTTTCAGCTCTCATGCTGTAAACATGTGTCCTTCTTGTGGTTTATTTACTGACACTTTTTTGTGTGATTTTTTTCTTTAAAATGGCATGCAAGCATAGTGTTGAACTGCTGTCTGGTGTTCCTCAGCAGAAGGAGGCTGTGCTGTGTTTTATGGAGAAAATATGTGTGTTAATAAGCTTCATCAGACATGAGTTATGGTGCTCTCCATGAGTTCACTGTTAATGAATCAACAATATGCATATCAAATGTCTTTAAACATAAAACAGGGTTATTGATCAGTTGACCAGAGGCTCACAGGAGCCTCACCTGTATTTCCCCTAAGAGCAACAGTCCAGTATTTGTTATTTCAGTGTTCACAGGGACTTTATAGAACATAACTCTCATGAATAATGAGAATAGACTGCATGTATTAATTTAGTGAGACTTCAAGAGATTTTCATACCTGCTTGATTGAATATATCCTATCACATATATGATATAGTCAATAAATATATATAGACATACAGAGAGGTTCACTTGAAGCATTTTGTTTTTTTCAAAACAAGCCATTCAGAACACAAATCTTTGATGAAAAATGTGCATCCTTTCAATAATTTTTTTGATCACTTGTATTAAATTCATCTCAGATCATTGGTGTCAGGCTTGTGAGAACTACATATACATCCGTGAATACTTGGGGCTGAACGTCTGTGCTGTTCTCACTGGAGAAAAAGAGCTTGTATTTCTGAGAGCTCACTGTTGACAGGCCCAGGAAAGGGCTCCCTGAGCCGTGACAGTTGACATTTGGTACACAGCCACTCAGCCTTCATGGTAGTGAAGCACCACAAAAGCGTGTTACATTCATTCTAATGTGTCTGGTCAGTCATCGTATTGCCTGTCATTTGTCTCAGACTGAAAATTAAGCAATCATGGAAAGGGGAAGGCAGGAATAGATAAGATGAATAATGAAGATTAAATTCAATGGAATTATTATAAATTGATGGACTCTAGACTAAATGGAAAGGACAGGAGATTAGAGCCTAGACGCCTCATAGAAGCTCATCAGCAGAGGGCAATTTGGTTCCTCAAGTCGAACTTCAAACTCAATAAGGACCACGTGAGGGGGACAACTGAAAAGAGAGGTAGATGCGTCATACCAGCACATTTACGATGTACAGGCTGTCTCCTCTGTGGGCCAGATGGGGCTGGCTCGTCATGCTGGCTCCTCCCAGTCCTCAGTGACTAAGCCATGTTCCTGTGTAACCATCAATCTGGCCTCATTCAACAAACATTTCCGTGGAGTGGCTAGGAGAGCCAGGCAAGGTCAAACTGGGGGGATGAGGTAGAGTGAGGAGTTGGAGTGTTGGGACCGTGGGGCAAGAGTGGCTGGGTCTGCATTACAGCTTCACCACCTGTTAACTGTGTGGTCTTCAGCCAGTTAGTTAACCTGTCAGGGCCTCACTTTCCACGACTGTAAAGCAGAGATAACACGAGGACCCACCTCATAAGGCTATTGTGCAGATTAAATGAGCTAATCCGCATATCGGAGCTTCCCACAGTGCCTGGCATAGATGGAGTCCTTGTCTGAGAAGCACAAGAGTGGCCCCTGTGCCAAGATATACTTAGCAAAGGAAGAGTGGTACAGGATGAGGTAGGTGAGCCAACTCCTCCGGGGACTCACAGGTAGCCAAGGTAAGGATTTTAAAACTAATTCTTAAGTGCATTTAGGAAACCTTTGCCTGGTTTTAAGTAGGACGCTGACAACGTAGAAGAAAACAATGTTCTAAATATATTTTCTGCAATACAAGGTCTTTTTTTTTAACTGGAAAAATTTGCAGCGCAGCCTCAATATTGTGATTCCCCTTCAGTGCCGACTGGCCACTGAGCTACTCCCCACCCCATAATGTTCCTAAATACTCTGTCATAAAATTCCACTGGGACCCACTAACCTTGTCTGATGGTGATGCTGGTGTACTGGCTTAAGGATCAGTAGGTACAACTGCTGTCTGTAGTGTGCCTCTCAGTGTCAG